TGTGATTGTGATTGTGCTTGTGCTTGTGCTCGTGCTTGTGTGTGTGTGTGGTTGTGCTTGTGTGCTTGTGTTTGTGTGTGCGTGTGTGTCTGTTTGTTTGTGTTTGTCTCTAGTCTTTGTACTTGTCATTCAACCTGAGTTTGAGTTTGTGTTTGTGGTAATGACTGGTAGTGTTAGTGTGGGTGTGGGTCTGGGTGTGGCTGTGGGTGTGGGTGTGGGTGCGTGCGTGCGCGACTTTGCTTATCGTGCGCGCACGCGTGTGTGTGCTACGTGCATGCATGTGTGACTATGCGTACACACAGTGCCCAACAGAGCTTACCTCGGGTGACACAGTCTGCCAACGTCGAGGCTGGGGCAGGGCAGGATATACATCTTGCCTCAAGGCGGCAGCCAAGGCACAACGCAGTGTGGTCAGTTCACAAAGCGATGAATCGCTCAACACGTGGCCAGAAAGACTCAAGGAAGAGACGAACACCGCACGAACTGAACTGGCAACCCTCGGAAACACAGGCTGAGGAAGCGGGCATCAGAGGCCGTTCTCTTTGCTGTTGCCGGAGGACCTGCAGGCATGGTTCTGGAGTTTCTTCGGTGATGCTAATGGGTCGTTGCCTCCTGGCTGAATCGCTGTCGCTGACCTTCACCAAAAAGTGCTTTAGTCTGCACCATCAAAAACATACACAAACAATAGATATATATATATATATATATATTGGTGGCTCCAGGCTTGTTGAACGCCATGTCACTGACTGTTCTGCAAACGCAGTCCTAACGCATCGTACCAGATGATTGCAACCGTGCACGCAATGCAGAGGAAAACCGAAAATTTGCTTTGCTGAAAAGAGAAGGCTCCGACTTTCTTGGTGAATTGGGTCCTGTACACCTACTGACTTGCGATGACGTGCACGAAGGTGCGAAAGGCCATGCCAATCCACCTCAAAGAAGTTGCCTCCAAAGCCTCATCCCACCAACAACCGTTAGTTCGCTCTGTAGCCCCATCTCAATTGCACTCACTCATAATTCGATCCAAGGCGCGCAATGCCTCTGCCTCCTGCTGCCTCGGCTACTGGTACCACTTATGCCGAGCACATGTTGGGACTGACAAACGTGCCAGTAGCTCTCATGTGTGGTTGCTTAAACGTGAGTGTACCCTGGCCAGCTGAAACATGGAAAAATGCGGATACACTCCCTATTTGTTGCCTCCTGCATGGCTAAACAGGTTGCGATGCAGGGTTATGGTATCATTCCAGTGAATTCAGCCCTCGTTTCAGCAAGGCATCCAAGCTGAATCATGACCGGTTTACGCACAGTTCAAGGTCAAGTCAGCGCATGTGCTTTTGAAGACACGCCCAGCCTCTGGCAAAATGCCCCTTCAAGACAGTGCACCCTCAGCAATTACAAAGTCAGGCACAAAGCCACGTTAGGCGAACATGCACATGCACATCTTGCAATCATTGACCGCAGTCATCACCGCCATCACATTCAGCCAAACGCAGCTTCTAACATGATACATACCAGGTAGTCTGACGACCACATCGTATCTATCACACATTTGTCCAGCAGGGCGAACATGTGTCAGTGTATGGATGTATGGTTTGCGCATGTGCATAAACAGGACATGATCTGACGGGAAACAGGGAGTCTGCGGCTAGAATCACTGCCTCCTCCCTCCTGACGGCCCTTTTCCAATATTTCCAGAGGTCTTTCGTGTAAGCCCTTAATAATCCGTTGCACCCCGCCTTCGCTGCAAAGCGAGCTCTGCCTGCTCCTGCTGGGCACGTACCTGTCAGATCCCCGAACAGGCCGCCACGGTCTTGATGGCTTACCAATAATAAGATGGACAAGTGTAACCAGTTCGGAAATCAGATGAGGGGCTTGCCTCTAAGGCTAACTTTCCGGTCCATCCAGGAATTTTGATGTGAGGGCGCGGTTCTCATAAACTCAACTTCCCTGCTTGTGCCTGATCTCGGTGCTGCTGCTGGAAATGCTCCTGTTCAGGTGCGAGCTGCGCAGCACGCTGCGTTTTGTAATATTTTGCGTCCTCCTCTTGGAGCCGGTGAGTCTTCTGCAGGTTCAGCCTGGGCTCGACAGTGCGACTGCGTCAGCGAATCCGCGCTCTTGCATTACCGCACATGCCCAAATCCGGAAATTAGCTTCGCGCATATTATTGCATGGGAAAAGTAACAAGGCTGATCTATGTACGACTTTTCGGCACAGCTGAGCCATCAAGACTTAGCCATGGAGTCGAGGAGCCAGGAAATGGAGGCTGCGGAATCGCCCCGTAGCTCCAGTTCCTGGGCGTTCAACATTTCCAACGACCAAACACCAAACGAAAAGCCAAGGAGTTAAGTAAATGGTCTGGCTTCTTGAAAGAAGCAAGTGCTTTGAGCCTGCCATGCTGGCAACAACGACATTCACGATAAAAACAACTAGTTTTCGGTCAGCCGACATCGCAGGACAGAAGTGTGACAAGAGAATTTTTGCTTTAATGTGTGAATGAAGTATACAAGCTCGAAGAGCTTGCCGATAGGCCGTGCCGAGCCACAAGCTGCTGTTGTCGTGCAAGCTCCTGACGACAGCACGTCGTGTGACATGTATATGCGTGTACGTCCGTCTAAATCCGCTCAACCAAGCATGAAATATGCAATGTGTGCCCAGCGGAAGTGCAGAGGCAAGTGCCGAAAGTGTGTGCACAAAGATATCGAATCTCGAAGTACTCTCGAAGTGTCTTCCAGCCAGAGAATCTACCGTCCCTGTCCCTGGCCACAAGGTGCCATGATTTTTGCCCAAACTTTTTGCATTGTTAGCCGGCTGTCCCGGCTGCCCGCGCTGACAAGCCATCCAGCAATTTGTGTGGGCAGCGTTGCATCGTGCTCTCAAGTCGCCAAACTTGTTCCAATAGGCATTTTTGTGTGGTGGCCGTCCTTACTCGCACCTCATGGGCTCGCGTGAGTCACGGCCAATCGGGGAGTTCTTCTTTCATGACACTGGCAATTCGGTAGTCCCCATCGCGCACGCTCCCGCACGCTTACAGCATGAGACCGTCATGAGCTACCGTTCTCTCTCTTTCTTCCTGTGTGTTGGGCGTCGGGGTCGTCCAGCGACCCTATGCTAGGGAGTGCATGGTTTATGCAGTCGTCTTTTCTGCACCGACCTTTCTGCACAAGACGACACAACCACCAGGTCTCTCTGCATCCCCGCTCCGTAGACCTAGTCCCAGCTCATTGTGGGTCCCTTGCTCTTGTTTCTCATTTTCTTCCCGTCATTTCCGCATGACTCCTGTGACAGCACTGTGGTTTTTCGAGCACATCCACTGCGCCTTTACACTCCGGCGAAGTCATCACTAGCAGCTTCTCAGTTCACTTAATGTTGAGGAGAATCTGAAACCGGATCGCTGCCTGCTGCAACTGCTGCTCGTAGCGCTGGTCCACACTCGACCGCTGAGAACGCTCAGCCATGTGTGCTTCCGTGACCTTGACAACCTGACGGTGCATTGACTGAGCATACGTAGCTCGCAGGCAAACGAGCCGGTAAAGAACCCTGGTCTGCACGACGCCTACACTCATGGAAGTGCCTCTGCGGATGGTTGTGAGGGATGCGACTGTCGCGAAGCTTGCGGTGACACCTGGAATTTGAATCACAGCGCCAAATGTCGTGTTGTTGCTTCTTAAGGTGTCTTGTGGTGCTTCTGTTTTCTTGCCACTGTTTTCCGAGAGCTTCGCTGTCCAAGCATCTGCCTTTGTCGAAGCGTGTTCCCTCTCCTTGGCCGACCGGGAATCGGAGGGTAGCGTCGTCCACTTTGCCATTACGCTTTACAGGGGTTCCGGAAGTGAACCAAAACTCCCAATAACCCGCCCGAAACGCAATTAGGTCGAGCATCTAGCTTCTGGCAGCGGTAGTGGTACTCCTGAAGCTCTTGCCTTGCAGCACGGAAAATGCAACACAAGGTGCTTGTGTAAATCATCACGAAACTACGCGTACACAACGAAGAATGCAAGGTATCGGTGGGCCCTGGAGCCCTGATGCTCCCAAGGCTGCAGCTGGCGCATATTCTCCTGGATCAGCTCTTGCCTTGCCGTGTCGCGTTGCACTAATGCAAGCGTTGGCAGCGCTGGCAGCGGGAAGCTCAAGGATCAGAAAGATCAGAAAGAACGCCGAACCACAGCTACTATCTACGACTCTACGACCATCCACCAGAATGCTGCATCGGATGACGTGACACACTCTTGATTGAGGCCCCACCCTGCCTCTTCTGTTCCATTCGCTGCGCTTCCAGCCTGCACGTCTCACAATACACTATCCAGTCATCGACCGCAGCACACATGAAACCATGGCTAAAAGCAGGCTCTTGGCTGGGGTTGACGCGAAGAAATGTCGAAATGACGATCCTTCAGGCCCTGCACAAAGGGTGTCAAGCTCTTTTGCAGCATGTACACATGACGCCTGCTGCTGGGCCTCGCATGCAACATCTGGAAGTTGGAAAGACTTCTATGTTTTGTCTCGCGTTTGCACAGTGCGCAACTGCATCACGGCACGGAATATTCAGACTGGGCCAGCTGTGGCAACACCAGAATGGTGAGCTCTGCAGGCTCCGAACTTAGTCTCTGAACTGGCTTCCTGTCTGCCTGACGTCAGGGCAAGGCTTCTTGGAACGAATTCAAAGGCGCGACGCCGGCGCCGGCTGCGCCAGAGTGGAGACTCGCTGACTCAGGAAGGGCGGACAGCAGGTGCCGCCTGGGTAGAACCCGCTGCATCGCCCTCCACGCCTGCTTCCTGGATTAGCTCAGAAATGGACTTCTCTAAGTCATCGATGCGGGCGCCCATATCATCAATGCGGTTGATGATGGAGTCGGACATGGTCTGAAAGCGCCCCTGCATTTCCTTCAGAAGGTTCTGGACGAAGAGAGTCAAGTCCTGATTCTGGTCATCCTGGCCCTCCATGGCCCCCTTCAAGAAGCAGCTATCTCGCCAACTTTGAGCACGCTTTGCTGCGGCACTCTGCAGTTCATCAAGACAACGAGCATCCCCAGATGTCCAAAGTCCAACCCCGGCATCAGTCGGCTTCCAGCCTGTGACAGGCCTCGCGGTCGAGAACCGTCCTCGGAGTCGTCGAATACAGAATCTGGATTGAACGGACATTTTCCGGATGTAGTTTCAGACGAGGAAACAATCTGCCTTCATAGTGTGTCGCCCAGTTTCGCTTCGTTTCTCGAGTTTGTTCCGATATGCCGCGATGCCAGTTTACAGATGCGTGGGGTTAGTGGTGCATTGGCCCTGAAAGCTGCGCATGTCCGCCTTAGGCCATGGCAGGCAAATTCGGCAGCAGCGGCGTGACTGTTCTGAACGAAAGCTCCTGGCGACTGTTGCTGGCCTACCACTGGCAGAGTGTTGGCAGGCTGCTGAAAAGCGCCCCGACGGCTTGGATTAGACTGCTCTGGCCCAACGCCCTGCACCAAATTGCAAGCATGTCCTCCGGACTGGCCCCTCCACTTCCGGGGTAGCCACCTGGCAATGCTCTTCTAATGCACGAGAAGCAGCTTTGAAGAATCGGATGCATAACCAACTTAGTCTATACCTGCGTACTTCCACGAGCCAAGCATGCCAGCATGACCAGATTCAAGCGATGGGGCTTCAGTGGCCGGGGTGGATGCCTGCCCCACCCTGTTCTTGAAAACCAACCTAACCGAAGATTCGCACACCATGCTGTCGGTAACCCAAGATGGAGTGCCAAAAGCATGGTAAGTGTGCCCTGAAACATCCAACGGTCTCAAGTCTGCGCACACTCGCACGGAGTCCTTCCCGGGCGTCCATGCTCGGCTTCGATACCTGCATCTGAGCTGATCCAAGTCAACCTCTTGCGAACAACACTCCTGGAACATGTTCTAACTGATTCTAACTCGCCCTCTTTCCTGAAGACTAGAAGCCAAACACTCACACGTGAAAACTACACAGACTGCAGCACAGCTTGAAAAGACTCGCCGGCACCCTTGGGAAGATCTGGTTCGTGCCCGAGGAAAGTTGTGTCGGGGTTGCCTTGCACAAAAAAATAGCCGGCAAACACTGGGTGCTCAATCAGTGGGCGAAAGGATGGCGAAAGGACACGCCCACTATCTACTAGGCTAGCTTGCGACGGCAGAACCCCTTGGGTCCAGACATCTTGGTTTGAGGTGGGCCAGGGTCTCGAGGAGCAAGTGGCGAGGAAACCACACCTGCAACATGCGATACCCTGCACATGTCAGACTAGCTGTGTTGTTGGAAGTAAGACACTGCGGAAACTTCTTGACTCGCAAGCCCCCAGAACATGCAAAAGCATACAGCCGAGGACAGGTGATGCTGGGCTTTCCCGCCCTTCTCCGCCCAGGCGCTGAGATGTGCAATCCCCATGCCTCGAGGCGGCTTCAGATCAAACCGCCTGGCACACTGCTTCTACACGTGCATGCACTAGCGCGCACTAGCGTGCACCAAGCGCACGGCTTGGCCAAGCCGACTCGACTCGGGGAGGGTCCATCGCACCTGGCATTGCTACTGCTGCGGCCTACTTCCAACCGCTGCTAAGAGTGTTGCCAGTTTGTCAAGCGGCGGACCTCGACGAGGATCAGCTGGGCTGCAACCCCGCACCTGAGTTCTTCGCCCACACCCTCAACTGTCCAGTAGGATCCTTCGCTCAGGGTTTGAAGAGTTTAAAGCAAGTGGAACGCGACTTCATCAAAACAAACACGGGGGCCCCGCCAATCAAGCAAAAACACATTTCGACTTTCCACAGGAACTCTGCTGCACCATTACGAGCTGCCTTCATCTTCAAAGTGATTGTTCGCAAAAGTTGCTCTCCAGAAACCGACTGAAGTCATGAACGTGGCACCAATCACCCAGACATTTAAGCCCATCGCCCTGCCTTGCCATCTCGGCAGCTGTCACGGCTCCGTTCCGACCGGACACCCGCCTGATCCCGGATTTTGAGCTAGTTTCGCAGAGCTCAATCATAACGTGCATCATGCCTTGTGACGAACAATTCGTGCCAAAGTTCGTCCACCTGGGAAGAACGTCATAGAATGGCTGCATCTTCCGGGCGAGGCATATGTATGTATGTGTGTATGTATGCATGTATGCATGTATGCATGTATGCACATATGCACGTATGCATGTATGCATGTATGCATGTATGTACATGTAATATATATATATATATATATATATATTTGTACATACATATATATATATATATACATGTAAATGTGTGTGTACATGTACATGTATGTCATGTGTATAGGTTTTTGTTCATACATACGAGTACACACACATATTTGGGCGTGCTTACACATGTATATGTGTCTGTGTGTATACAAATATCACCTAAACATGTGCACATGCAAAAGCCTAAATGTATGTGCGTACACTGATATACAGAAAAAACCCTACATACATACAGATAAAAAGGCATAAACCCGATTTTATGTATTTATCTAACTATCTTTTCTTGATCTGATTATTTATTGATTTCTCTGCTTATTTACTTATTAATTCTTTTCTGTTTTTTATTTAAACTTATACACATAGGCGAACACACACACACACACACACACACACATATATATATATATATATGTATGAATGTGATTAAAAAGCACACTGTATGTGTGTGTGTGTGTCGACTTCTGGTAGGTAAGTTCTGCGTTCATAGCCCATGTCCTCATCTGTGAGGTGAACGGCACAATTTCCCGGTGCTTTCCGTGCGTTGAAACTGTTGGATTTGCGATCTGTTGGCGTCTGCGTTGTCTAGGTGCGCGGCTTAAGGGGCATCTGCGTTGTCTAGGTGCGCGGCTTAAGGGCCGCGGATCTGCGGGAATACCACCCTTGTGGGGGCCTCAGCTGCAATGGGAAATTCCGACGCAAACACTCGAAAAGACCCGGATATGAGAAAGCCAGCCGACTGGCGCGGGAAAGCACCAACTCGGACAACTTCGAGTCCTGGACACGACAGCAATGCAGTGCATGCATGTGGTTGTGAAACAGGGCCACAAACGAGCCGGCTTTGCGGGTGCATACAACCATTGGACGAATGTGTCGTACTCGACCTTGGCACATGCTCCCAATTGCTGAAACGTGCATGCCGACTTAAAGGGTCCAACATTTTCACACTTGTCCGTCACTTTGTCCAAGAATCGTGCCAACCTTACAGATTTGTGCTAAGATATTGGAAAATCGTTTCTAGTCACATGCATACAAAGAGAAGGACTTCTTGTCATAAGGCTGAAACTGCTGACATTCGGCCACATTCAATTCCCGTGCCAACGACAAGTGAATCAGCGCCTGTCCAGCCATAAGCCGACAGGGCTGTTCATCAAGAACCCTGCCGGCTGCAGACCTCCAGGTATGTTCGGTTGATGACCCCAGTCCTCGTGGGCACCATAAGTCCAAGTAACAGCCACCGAGATACCGACTGGCGAACAACTGAGATCCCAGCCGTTGCGTATCAAATTCGCGAAATGCTGCACATAGTCTAGCCTGGTCATGTGAAAACTGAACACGCGCCACCACCGAAGCCGAACGTCAGGCCCGGACCCCACGTGCACGAGCTAACCCGACGACCTGACAAGAACACACCCATCGCAAACAGTCGGCCCTCTCCTCTTGCGGTCCAGGCACCCCGTCAATGTTCATGCTCACGGATTTGCCTGTCAACATGACAACATGGCTGATGGAAATGCACTTGCGCGATGGGGCCTGTTCATGCTTCGACTCCAAGCGGCCATGGCCAGCAAACTCAAGGAGGAAAACAGATTACGTGCAACTGTCAACCCATGTTCTTGCCATGTCGCGGAAAAGCTTGTACGACAATCACGTTTTATGCATTGCGATTGGGAATGCAACCTGTGCGAAACAGACCACCATGCAAACCACAACCCTGATAGCCAAGCACATTGCGATTCTGCCGAATTCAATCTTTCAGCAGGTGTATGATGTTCTGGATGTGCTGTTATTGCATACCCAAACAGCGACCGCATTCCCATTGATAGGTGGTGATTTCAACGCTAACGTTGGGGCATTGACTCCACATGATATTTCACAACTTCTGGGTGGTTGGGGAAGTGGACCCAGGAACGATCGAGGACGACGACTGGTACACTGGGTTTTGACGCACGGGTTTCAAATAATTAGTCGACACGCAGCCCATGCCGAAGATGCTGACAGTTGGACGTGTCAACGTGCATCCGACGGGGCGCAGGTTCAGTTGGATTTTATCTTGGCAGATACTCGAGTAACACCCATACAAACATGGCATGACTTTTTTCTTTTTTTTTTGGCGCCTCTTTTCGAACAGTGACCGCGGTCCCAGTGCGAGTTACAGCTGCGAGCTACGGGAGGGTTCAAGGCGCCGGCA